CTTATATATTAAAATCTCCACAATCCCTTGGTTAACTTGACATGAAACCTGCACCAATTTCTGTTTTGCTGTGAACTGCAGGTCTATCTGCTTTGTTAATGGGGTGCGCGCCACTTTCTCCCATTTCCTGTACCATTGTAATGGCCTGGAAGCTTTGTAGTTCCCACAAAAGACTCCAATGTCTGGTTTCCATTGGTTTCTAACAGCTTAGAAACACCTGCTGTGTGTTTACATTAGAATGGTGGCAGGCAGCCAATATTTGGGTGCAATAGAATCTGATAGAATTTCTGTGTTGAAAGTTAAATATCGTTTTTAGCAGGTATGTGGAGATGTACAATCACTGCATTTATAAAATGGGTTAGGGACCACATTACCTTGCCTGGACTGACTACAACACAGAAGAAGCGCCACATGAAGGCTTCTGTTTCTGCTACAAGCGCAAAACATTGTGAAAAAGCATTTTACTTTCCATGATTTCAGAATCACAAAGATAGCTAGGTTATTCACTGACTTCTGTATTAGGTTCTAGCTCAGGCAACACTCAAACCAGGAAGGTTATTAACAACAGCTGCTGCATAAAATAACAGAATTTATTGGAAACAGGTTGACCCTGGCATGATAATATATGACTGGCTTACGCTACCTGGTTGTGCTTTCATTGTGCTCCTACAACTGTAATACTCTATTAGTGGATGCACCAGTAATATTTCTTACAGTTATCAAAGTATGTGCATGGTTAGATAGTATTATAATTGCAGGGAAGTGGTGGATCCACAGCATTGGGTTTGTAAGTACATCTGGATGGGGATAACTGTGAGGTGCTGATAGTGCTGGTAGGGTACAGGTCACTTGCATAAATTCAACTCATTTGCAGTACTATTATGACACCTTTTATTTTCCATTTCTACAGTACTGCTATTGGATGATCACTTAAAATCCTTCCCCTTGTACCAATAAGAAAACTGTGCGTTTCTATTTATCTCATATAATATCTATTTATAAAGGATAATCCTATGCAGTTATATTAAATAGATTCCTGATAATGATCTATGCTAGCTATATACTGTAACTTGGACAAATATTTACTGTGTGTGTGGTGTTGTCAGAAGTATTTAGTGCAGCATATTGGGAAGCACGTGCAAGTGGAAGGAAACTGTATATCTAGCCTGTGTACAATATATGAATAGTTGGCTTTCTTCCAATGTTTAAGTATGATTTAAAAAGTCTAGAGGGGATTCACTGATGTTTATAGCAGGTTCAGAATAATCCTTGGATTTACTAGGGAAGTTTAGACAAACTTCTGTTATAGGTGTATTTCAACCTTAGGTGATGTTAAAAAGCTTGATTGAGTTTCTAAAAAAAAGGAAATAATACAAATTATTGGCATTAATAAAGTATTAATAATGTTCTTAGTCTTACACAGGCTCTGTATGCTATAGTGAAAATAGGGGTCAGATTGCAAAATACACCAGCTATTTTTTTTGTCCCACTGTAAATTCTGGATTGTGAATACTATCAGCTGTCTATTCGTAGGAGGAAAGGGTCAGGAAAAACCGTGGTTGAATAAATACAGCAAGATCAGTGGATGTGATGGCCGGAATAGCATCACATGAGCTTAATCATTGTTGCATAACTCATCCCTACTGCACAAGACACAAATAAATAAATAAATGAATGAATAAAAAAAATGCATTGGTTTCCTGTTACTGATGTGGCAGCTGAGCTTGAGTACTTTGCCAAAGTTGCCAGGAAAATACGTCATCTGAGGGGGGATATGCTGAGTACAAAGCCTTACAAAAAAACTGTTCATTCATACATGTCTCTATTATTCCCATAGTTGTGAAAAGCTTTCAGGCACAATTGGACAAAGAATCATGATTTGGAGAACAGTTCAGGATAGAATTATGTGCTATTTATGTATAATGCAGTGATGAAACACAAGAGGGGAGGATAGATCATTGTTCAGATGTACAGCATTTTAATCTTTGACTTCTATTTAACTTTCTCCTCTTAACTTGTAGAAAAGTTGTAAAATTTGGTATTAATTGATTCACTCTTATTTATGTGATGCTAACCATAATTGTGAAATGCTCCATTGTTTATTGATTTTGTACGCTAATTTTTCTTGGTCATTTTGAGTTTTTTCTCATCTTTGTTATTATGAGTTATTATATCTAATCATATCTCTCTCTGAATACCAACTAACTACAGCTGTGATCCATGCTCAAAAACATTAGACGTTAGACTAGTTACACTATAAGGTCCAGTTCACACCAGGGCATTTCGTTGCTCGTTTTAACATACACTGAATTGCATGCAAATTAAAATCCCATGTATTCCAAAATTGCCGACTTGTGCGTAAAAATACGCCTGTTGTTTGAAATAGTCCCTAAACATCTTTTTTGGCACTTATCAGCTCGTTTTGCTCCATAGATTTCTGGTGACCCTACAAATATATCCTGGTGGCTTAGTGGTTAGCACTGTGGTCTTTCATGTTTGGGGTCATGGGTTCAGTTTTCACTAGAGACCTGTCTGCTTGGAGGTTGTATGCCTCTCTGTTTTTGCATGTGTTGTGCTGTGGTCTCAGCCCAATATCATACAGGCAAATGGGGAAGTGTCTGGTGCACATAATACAGAAAACTACTCTAGGATAGAAACAGAATGGTTCCATGACCTTTAAAGTTTTCAATAGCATGTTGTTGATGTACAAAATGTCAAGAATGTAGTATAATAAATACATATAGTTAGTGGCAGAGGCTATGTTACAATGTAGACATTATGGAATAGCTTACAAATCACAGCGGGGTACAACCAATAGTCAGTAAATCTATATATGCCTTTCACATTAACATTTCCTCAGAATACCTTGATATGGACATAGGAATAAAGAATAATGGGTGCTTGCTTGCATATTGTGGGAGACCCATTTAGCCTACTTCATTTGTAACATAGGAAGTCAAAGTGTATCACGTTATCGTGTACAGTATAAAAACAAGCACCATCATCAGGACCTGTCTGGCCCCATTTTCTACTAAAAACAATATCTAGAAAATCAGCCAGTACAGAAAACAAATTGAGAAAAACAAGTGTTTAATGCTAGACATTCTTCAATACACATATAGGCCATGATGAACTGAAGTAAAGTACCCCATTTCATCTTCAACACAAGTACATGTGAATGCTTTTTGTTCTTTTAGAACAGCTGGCTTAGCTTGGCAGTTTAGAGAAAATGTGCCCTTTCTAGTCTGCAATTAAAATTTATCATGTTCCATACTTATAAGATTTTCTACATCCTCGGTGTTCCCCAGAATGTAGAGGAAAAGTTGCAATCTGGATGGATGACAGCCAACATTCTGTTACCCAGCTGTTCTAGACCACTTAAATAAACAGCATGGCCCACACACCTCCTTCTCTTTTAATTAGGTGGCATGTTTATAACAGTGGTTATGGCACAGGTCCCTTATTAGTTAGACCCGACCTAGTGAGATTTTAAATCTGACATGGTTCTTTTATCATGTTACTTGCCCGCAATATATCCGGTAGCTTTCCATTGGCTTGTACAGGAGTATTTCAAAATTAATTTGCCCTAGCCATTATGAGAAAATATGTAATGAAAATATATTTGGTAATGTTATTTTTTTCGAGTGCAAATCAAGGCATGGCTAGATCTCGGATTCCATGGTTCTAGGCTATTTACACAGCTTTTTCCTGATGATAGCTGTATATATTGGACAGCGAGCAATGCAAAGATGAAAGCAGAAAGTTTGACTTCAGCGAACATCCTGGTGGTATACATAAACCAGTTTGGTGTAATGGTAACTAGTAACGTGATGTTAACATGGGACCACAAATCAAAACAAATTGCTGAGGAGCGCAACTACCTAAATGCAAGCTAATAACCAAATTGGCTAACAATGGAGTAACACGATGGGCTGAGAAACATGAAGGTCATATAGAAGTGCTGGCAGCCATAATATGGCTGGCCCTATGAAATAGAACCAATGGTAGGAGACTTACAGTTGGGATGTGAGCAGACGTGCCCGGGAGTCTCCCGCAGGGTTCTCTTCAGGGTCTTTTCAGTCGGGTTCCTTTGCGCTACGCGTTTTGAGGGGGTTCCTCTTTATTTTATTTTTTTTACTATTCTGTGGCTTGATAAAGAGGAACCCCCCTCGAAACTCCTGTATGCACTGGGATCACCTCCCCAAGCACATCCCTCACCGATTTCATGCACTGACCCATCCCCGTGTACACTCCCGACAGCCTCACTTGATACTGCGTGGAGACGCATGGAGCCTTGTGTCACACAGCCACTCGCGGCTTATCGCTTCCTTCAGCCGCCGCGGCTCGGCCTGGCCAGTCGAGTACGTGAGCTCGGCTGACAACCCGATCTTCAACTCCGGTCCAACAGCCATCTACCTTCCATCTGTCAGCGCAAAGGACCCGACTGAAAAGACCCTGAAGGGAACCCTGTGGGAGACTCCCGGGCACGTCTGCTCACATCCCAACTGTAAGTCTCCTACCATTGGTTCTATTTCATAGGGCCAGCCATATTATGGCTGCCAGCCCTTCTATATGACATTCATGTTTCTCAGCCCATTTTGTTACTCCATTGTTATTGAAGTTATTGGTTATTAGCTTGCATTTAGGTAGTTGCGCTCCTCAGCAATTTGTTTTGATTTGTGTTTGTGATATATACAGGGTCCCTCCCATTGCAGTGAGGAGCATTGCACACCATTCCATAGCAGTCACTTTCTGCAGTTGTGTCCGTCCCACAGGAGTGCGCTCTGTCAATTGTGTTTTCCATTAACATGGGACCATATGGACATAAACTGTTAGTCTAAGTAAAAGGTGACAAAATGTTTAGCTTGGTCAGAAGGTTTGTAAACATTCTTACAACTCAAAATCCATTGTCGATGTTTTATTCCTGTACTGCACACAATATGAAAACAATAATGTTTTGTATTTACTTTCTGATAAAATTATAATTTTTTGTTATGCAGGCAGTGTGTACCAGATAGCTCTAGCTATTATGAGTGTGTGTGAAGGAGTATGGACACTTCCCCTCCCAAAGCCAAAGCCTACAGATCCTAAAACAGAATTTGACAGCATCCTCCACATGGCTAAACATCTCCTAAGTGACACCAAGCATCTCTACACCAATTTTGTAAGTATTGTGAGCAATCTGCTTTGTAATAGTTCACAAGCTAGAAAAGGGCCCTGAAGTTTAGAGCATTAAAGCTGAGATTTGTTCATTAGGACCAAGAAGTCCTATAATCATTTTTTTGGAGTTAAAGACTGTCTGTTTTGTAAAACATATTTATTGCAAATAAGTTTCACTGTCCCCATTAGAATGATAAAAGGGTTAGGATCTTAGGTATTAGGATCCCATACCTATTCAATCATGGCAATTAAATGTTAAACAAAACCCATCCAAGTCTTAAAAAATGGAATTAAAAGTACATAAAAACTGCCTATTGATGGCTTTAAGGCGGGATTAAAGGTTGGAGAGCAAAAGCTCCCATGTCCTTACTGCTTCCTACTGAATTAAATAATTGACAATGAGACCATTGGGATTTTCCAAGAATTCTATGCCCCAGTTGGAATTAAGTCATTCTTCAGCTTAACACTCCAAGCTGCAGACATATGTGAGCTTTGCTCCCCAAACATTAACCATTGAGCTGTTTTTTTTAAGGAATAGGAGAGCCAATATAGTTACATAGTTAAAACGAACTGGTAAAATGCAAGGCGTACTCAAATTTTCCTGGTCCTGTCCCTCTTTAAAAACCACCTACTCATAGTAGGTGTGAACTGTACCTGTAAAAAAAGTTCAATTTATACTTACCTCACCCCTGTCTTCTGCTTCATTGGGTTTGATGTTGTAGTCCTTTCAGGAAGATTCCTGGGGAATGCAGGGCAGCTGAAATATCATAAGAAGACACTCCAGTCCATTGCAAGAGCATCTTTTTAGTGAGATTTTAGCTGTTTTGTATGCAGGATCTAGCTGGAAGGAGTGTTAGGTCGTCCTCACCTAGGCACTGTGGGTGGAAGACAGGAAGAGGTAAGTATAACCCCTAACATTTTCTTTACAGGTATATTGAATATCTACCAATAGGTGATTTGTGAAGGGGGAGGGGGCCTTGGCAGTGTAAGCGGACCGGGCATTTTATGGCATGTCAGCTTCTGTGCAATTACTATATTTTTTATTGTCAATTCCAACAAAAAAATTCAATTCGCCAAATATAAGAGTCAGGTCATACTTGATAGGGAAGGGATCAATGCCAGGAGTTGCATTGATTGCTAGGGACAGTTTGTCATCAGAACCTATTGGATGTCATCTGAGACAGCTGCCCCAAACTTTCTGAAATAATATTATTTGGAAATAGTGCCGTCAAAAACAAAAAACAAATAGTAAATACGGTAGCTATACACTAAAGGTATGTTCATACAGCAGGGAATATGACATTCACCAAACATTTACTACAGGTAAATCCAGGTGCATGTGCTGTAAATACCAGTGATTGATTCACCACCAGTGAATGTTTGGTGACAGTCACCCTCATGGCTTTATAAATATGCCCCTTAGTATTTAATACATTTGGTGATTTTACTTTAAACAGTCCAATGAGAACTTGGCTAGATAGACTGCAGTGAAAACGACTAAAGCATCCCTTCAGTATTATACATAGATCCTGTGGTGAAAAGAACCTCTATATGATGCTGTTCAGGGCAGAGATCTTAAAAACGCCTTTCTTTTTAATGCTGGAGGCGGTGAAACAGATAACTATTCCTGGAGAGCCTGATGTGGCTTTTTGGAACATAAGGCATATTCTGTGCTGTGTGCCTTCTCTCCATGCAGCAAGAGCTGTCCTTCTACTAAAAGCCCCACTTCAGCCCAGGCATTGCTTAAAGTGCAACCAAATCTGTAAAATTCTTATTTTAGAATATAAAAATATACATGTAAAAATGTATGAGAACACCTTTACACAAGAATCTGAAATGCTGCTTTTGATATTGTTAGCGGTGGTCAACCTTTAAGCCCAACTCCAGCCAGAACTTTTTCTTTATTTTTGGATAGAGGGGTAATGGTAAGAATCTGTTAACTCTCTAATGCTGTTTGTGCCCCTCACTTTCTTTCTATTAGATGGAGGGAAACAAACTATTTTCATACTAGCGTATGGAACAATGAGGAATTCCATTGGTTTAAAACTGCTGTCTGTATCCCCCTAACTTGTCCAGGTGATGGGTATCAGATAGAAAAGGAAGTAAGGGGAAGTCTCATATGTTGGCACACGCAGAACATTTAAAGCAAAATAGAAGTCTCACATTTTTTTTTATCTCTTTGGAGTTCTGTAACCACAACTTTTTTGATTTGTGGCTGATTTTGTCCTTGGAAGTGCCTTTAAATACCTTTTTGTGCCTTCTGCCCTCACACTGCAGTGTTCTATGCTGGCAGAGCTAAGTAACGGTCACACCCCTCAGCACCAGATTCCACACACAGTCTTGTATTGCAGAGAATGGTAAGAGGTGTGTCTGGCCAATTCTGCTACATTACTGAGAGCAGCAGGCCTTACTTTGGTGCCTATTGAACTGTCAAATTTACCTGTAGACAACCCTACTTTAACATTCACGTCTATCTTCTTTCTTTCCTTTTCAGAAAGCCAAATTCCCATATGAAGGGGAGCACAAGTTGGAAAGTTTACCGGTGCTGACCATAAATGCTGTGGAGCTGTCTAGTATTCAGGTAAGTGGAAACTTTTAAATTAAACTCCTCATAGACTATAGTCTGGGACTTCTGTGAAGGAATAACTCACTTGCGTATACTATTGTAATGCGGAGGCATGTACTGTATATTTTATAAAAGTGATCAAAAGCTCTTCTCTCAAAACTGCTTTAGTTTTGGTTGGAGTTTACCTACACATTTTAAAAGTGTTGCTTTGTCATTTTGATTTGTACCCACCCATAGATTTTACTCCCTGCTAAATAGGCTTAGCAACCATTGCATAGTATACTATGACATCACTTACTAAATAGACTCATATAAAGTAGACTTATAAATCTAGGTTTGCTTTAAACACCAAGTCACATCAAAGCAATCAAGGGTGCTTGTGGTCAATGTTATTAATTTTTAATACAACATTTAATACAGTGGGCGTTCATGCTTTAGTGTGTGCAATACATGCTGGGCTGTCTAAAAAGAAAGCCCAGTACTAGCTCTATACTTGGTAACTGCTTCTGCAGATTAAAGTTCTAGACTGTAGTCCCTACAGAATAAGGGGGGTCATTCAGCTGTGCGTGTGTACAACCTGAGATACTGATATTTAGGTACGTGTATAGCTTGGCAGTAAACCAGTTAACTGCAACACTAGTAGTATCATACTCATACTACCAACCTACTAGCTGGAGGTAAAACTTATATGCAATATAACCATATTTACTGTACTAGATAACAAAAATCACAATATATCATTTTTTTTTTACTTTGGAGGAAAATACATAAATAAATAAACTATCGAAAAATACTATCCATTCCCATTCAGGGCTAGTAAAAAAAATCTCCTTAAACCAATTAGATCTTGCAAGCAAGGATAAGTTTGTTAAGCCAGTGTTAAACCTAAATCTTAATTGGTGCACTTAATTGGTGTTAAACATTGCTATATTGTGTTTCCTGCACGACGCTCATGTCCCAAACAGATTAAAATTTAATTTCTGGCACACAGACCACAAAGAAGTTCATTCAAGTCTTCTTGGATCATATGTGGCTGCTTTTCAAGTGAAAAGTTTTCAGCATTCACAGTTTGCCAAATCCAGACTACCCAAGCCTCTTTTTCATGTTTTTAGGACGTAAGGCCATAATCATTAGCGTTATCTTTAGCAGAGCTGTTTACTTCCTTTGTTTATGTGATTTATATTTTCTGCTAAGAATTTGGCTCTGCATTAGTGTCATAAGCCGGCTGACTTATACACAACACTTGTACATTGAAAAGCAGTGATAATTAACGTATGCCTTTCTGCAGAACTGCATCATCTATGTCAGCAATGGTTTTCTTGGATGTTTTTTTTTTGTAAGTCACCCAAATTATCTAAAATGTGATCACATTAGTTACCAGCAATTCCCAGTGCTGGGAAAAAAGGACAGTTTGGATGCAGATAGTGTTAAACGGGAAAGGAGAGGTTACTCTGTAATAATTCACGGAGTGCAAGTGCAGTTCTATTTTTTAAGATATTATGTCTGTAAAATGATATCATTCTGGGAAGAAAGCGACCCTTACAGATAAGCTGTGTCACTGGAGTTTGACAGTAATTTGCCATTGGGGGCAACTTGTTTTGTGTAAGTGGATGATATCACAGGAGCATGAGATCTATATTGCGTGGAATATCATGTTCAAAGCCCTTGATGTCATCGACAGCTGGAAACTTTTGGAAACAACTTGCAAACATGGGCTTTCCTGCGCAAATCCTGACCCCAGGAAATCAATGCTTAGCAAACCTCCCACTATTCATAAGCAATGTTCATCCGAGCAAGCAGAGGAGTAGAAAATATTTCCTGTCTCCGCTCTCCGGGTGTATGAGGCAAACATTGCATCCAAAATCACAAAGGGAAATAGTCAAAACAATACATTCCCAAATCAAAATAAGAGCAAAATCTCCAGCGATGTGAACTTTGTACGGACACGCACAGCTGAACTCAACAGCTAACGCAGTGCAATACACTGACACCTTGTGGCCAAAGTAGTATTACACTCTATAAAGTACAAAAGATGCCTTCTTAAAACTGAAGGTATTTCACATGTCACTGATTTATTCCTCACTTGAGGAGTTGTAAGTACAGTCATGTATAGCAAAATATACATCAAACATTTCTTTCATAAAGCAAAGCGAAGAAGAGCGTTGAAATGTGGTAACCCATGGCAACAGATCACAGAAAACCAGTTATGTATCGATCTTTATCTTCTTAAATAGGTTTAATCGTGTTTATAGACTTAACACCTCAATAATATCCTACCTATGTTCTGTAGGAAGAATGTTCTTTACACACAGTACAGACTAGGTCTAATTCACAAAGCTAACGCACTAGGATAAGGATACTTATTTTCAAAAAAGTGACAGTCATTTTCAGTTAAGTCCAATAAGATTTAAAATTGACAGTCACGTGGCTAAAAATAAAGATGCTCAACCTTGTGTAAACCTTTGTGAATTTAGCCTATTGTGTCAAAAGGACATTTTAATAGTGTTGAAATTGCATTAAACCCATAGCAGCAAGTCAAAATCCCCTTTCAATAAATATATATTTAAAATTCTTTATTTAGGTTGAGCAGGATAAGCACAGCATACAGATGAAATGACATCATCATCTGCTGATATTTGAATTATTGCTATGAGTTACTGCACTTTGCCCGTCATTGGTGCTATTTGCACTGCTTTATTAAATAAGCCTGGATGATTTTCAGACCAATCTTTTACTGCAGGATCTGCGGCTAGTTTGCTCTGTGCCATTTTTCCCATATTAGTCTTAGCCATGGAGAAATGCAAACCTTTTTTTTTTTTTTTTAAATAGGGCCCTGTGCCTTAAGATTTTCCATGCATTTGAGTCAATTTCTCCTTGGTCCTCGAAACAAGGTAACCCTTGATCTGCCAGCAGTTTTCTCATTTCCACCAAATGAATGTATCACTGTGTAGACTTCATTTCCATGCGCGCACTGGAAGCATGGGAATAATTCCCAACTTACTTTAGCAATTTCTAATGTAATAAAAGTGTTCCACACTCTGGCATCTTGGGAATTGGCCTCTCATCAAGGAATGTTTCAAAGCTGATATTAACGCTGTTTCTGAAGCTTTCAGCCTTAATGCATAAACATGCAATTGCTCAATGATTTTTAACCCCTTCAGGTCAGCTAACTGTCTCGATCTCATGCCACAAGTATAAGCTGTAGCTGCATCCTAGCAGCTCAATGCATGGCTGAAACATATACAAGAGCTATTTTCATTGCAAAGGTTCTGTATAAGGAATTAGGTTACAGCCCACTATACTAAGCACGGTAATGCACTGCATTGCGTTGCCATCATTAAATGCCACTCCAGTTCACCTAGGCAGTGCAGTAAAATGCGTTACAACACTTGTGTGTTGTAACGTGTTTAGCAAAACAAATGGCAAACGCACTCATCAACTTGTTACCAGCTTTACAGCAAGGTGCACATGGAAGGGCCTTATACAGTAAAACAGCAAAAAGTTTTCCCAGCACACTCACCAGCCAGCATGCTAAAAAAAACCCTGTCTCACCGCTAAGGTTAAAAATAGAGGTTTAGTTACACGTCTTCTGCAGAAAATGTGAAAGCCGCACAGCTGCGTCAAGGCACCTCTAAATAGTGCGGTCCTAACTCTAAACCATGAGAGTCTGCATCTTTGAGCACATATGGCAAAATATCAAATTGGGTGCAGGTTTGTCAGGAGGAAGCCCAACCTCCCTTAAAGGCACAGGGATGCACAAGGGATCCCGCACATCACAACGGCGGCTGAGACCCCCCATGCGTCACTGCACCAAATCAGTCAAGCAAAACAAATGGCAAACGCACTCATCAACTTGTTACCAGCTTTACATCAAGGTGCACATGGAAGGGCCTTATACAGTAAAACAGTGCTGGGAAAACTTTTTGCTGTTTTATTGTAACGCGTTTAAGCACATTACAACACACAAGTGAGAACAGTCTGCACTGTGGTGCTCTGTGCTGTAAAAAAATTATGAATGTTTGTTAAAATATGGTTGTGGTGCACTGGCAGCCCATTCAATATGAATGGCCTACCTTAACATAGTGCACATTAAAGCACAATATATGGCATGTAGGAGCAAACTTTATGAACCCGCAAACAAAGAAAAACAGAGCAAAATGGTAGAAAGTGGTGAGATTTTTAATTCCGAATGATGCAAGCATCCTTGTTCCATTCTGCCCTAATTAACCCCATCAGAGCCTTTTTCTCTGCTACCCATCAGCTAGCACAGCAGCTTTTTCCCCTCTGCGCTAGATTTAAAAACTTGGCTGGTGTGTAACAACTATTATAAAGAAACATTTTAGGTAATTATATCAGCTGAATTAAAAATAGACTCACAACTTAGAAAGGAAAGCATTCCTAAAAGAATGATTGGTTTATATAACTGCATGGAGTTGTTCTTTAAGAGAAGTGTTTATAGTAAATCCATGAATGTCGAGGATGCAAAACGTGTTACAATTTTACGACATTGGCATTCACCGCGAACCATAAATTGAAGGAAAGGATGACATAGAGGAGGCAGCTGACCATGGTAAAAGGAAAAAGAGGATATGATGTGATTTGCAGAGTGGTCTGTAGATGTGATAACAGATCAGCAAACCATTAACACGATCCAGCTGCCAACGTCTATCCAGCAGAACCATGACGCAGATGAATTATACCAGGCTGTATCTTATAAACAAAGTTGAAGGATATATTCATTTGTGGGATAATTTTCCTATTGATTTAAAGGTCTAATAGGGTAAAAGAACAAGTAAATATATTTGGCAGCGATGTTTAGGCTTGTGAAGTTATTTTTTTCTCCCAAAGGAAAATCGCTAGGTTGATGTGGCCTTTTCCTTTCAGCGGTTGGAAGAAAAATATGACATATGAATGTAATAAGTCTTTAATCCTGATGTTGCGTTGTGCAGATTTCCATTCTCTGTGACATAGATGTAGGCCAGTACATTGGTAGGTTTCTGGATGTTCTGTTTACATAAAAAATGAGGTTGTAACAAATGTTCAATTTTTTTTTTAGATTCCTGCTGGTCTTACAAAGCTCAGCTCTGAGCTCTTCATATATCAGAAGCATTTTGATTGGCTGAAGAAAGCTGCACATGTTGTTCGCCCATTGGATCACGAGTTTACCAGCATTCACAATCGCATCGACAAGCTGGTGAAGAAAATTGATTCTTTGGTATGCAAATGTTTAATGCTGCATTTTTTTCTTTTGATTACAATGTATGGACAAAATGTCGTCCCTTTGAACATATATCAGTAGTGAAGTAGGTAGATGTCTTCTTGTTGGTTGTTTTTTTACTGGCTTTCTCGGCTGCTACAAATATCTGACAGACCCCTAATACTGGCAGTGGATAGGAAAGTGGGTCAATTCTACAGTATCAGTGGATTTCATGGAACAACTTGCACCTTTTTTTTAATACCAGTTTAGCTTTAAACAAGAGGAATCTGCATCTCATTTCCCACAGACTTGACTTATCAACTGCAGCCAGTTGGTATTGTTAAATATATCTTGTTGTTGTGCATGTAGATGCATTTTTTTTGTTGTGTCTGTGTCACGACAGTTATGGCAATAGGCAAATCTGAGCAGTCCTCATGTAAAAACAGTATATTTAAACTGGCATCTTATCACAAGAGCAGGCATCCCCATTGGAACATTTTACCTTACCTTCTGTTGCAGTGACAACCATAACATTTTGGATTTTCCACCACTTTTCATTCTAGTGACATTGGTCACTAGGCAATAAGAGAGGGTGAATTACCCCAGCAGTGGCACAGACAGCAATGAAAATATGATTTCTCCCATTATAATCCAACACTGGACCTAACTTCCATTATTATTTCTTACAGATGACAAAACTAAACATCGCCCGTGCTAGTGACCCACCTCTGCCACAGCTTCCTAACACGACAACCCAGTGGGGGGTTGTGCAAACCGGCCATGCCGTTTTCCACCATTTCCACCTCTTCCTGGACTATGCAACTCGTGCCCTGGTACTGATGAAAAATAAGTTGTGAAGAGGACTTTACCATTTTTTAACTTCTGCCTCAGGACTGGCCAATGTGCTGCAATAAGACCAATCTAGGCTGCCTGAAGTAGAGAGAGACACTCCGATTGATTGTTTATGATCTATGGATCTTACGAAACACAATTGCCTAACTTCTACTGCACCTGATTTACAGGAATATGCACGGTGATACTACAAACTTTTTTTTTACATGTAATATGTTGATCTATAATTCCTATTTATACTGCCAACTATTTATTTATTTATTTATTTCCCAGGTTAATATTTAAATATTTTTTTTAAAGATGGATTGGATGTCTGACCTCAATTTAAAGAAGAGCCTTGGCTGATTTCTTAACAAAATGTTATTGTTATTATTATATATTTAAGTAGTGGTGTTATATATTTAAAAAGGTATTGGCGTTATGGATACTTTTACCTTTAAGTCTTTAAAGCATGTTGGCTGGCACCGTTTTTGTGTCCATTGCTGGCCATATTCTTGTTTTTTTTTATAGAAAATATTACTAAAACACTAGAAAATTGAGGAGAGATGTAAGAATTACAATTTCATATATCCTATTCTTTCATTAACATTCCAATTCCACACTGTAATAGAATGCTCATTGCTAAATGGGGAAATTACTTTTGTGATCAGGCAAAAATCACTTTTATTGACTTCTATTAGAACCATCAGAACTTATATTATTCTCTCTGGTGCTGGAATCAATAAAATGGAACTATGGAACTCAATTGTATTCAGTTGAACCAGCGCATAGACATAGGATAGCCATGTCTGATGTTGCCATTTTCAGCACTGTTATCTGTCTATGGGTAAAAACAGACAGAGTCAACTTTTCTAAGGGGAATAATGATTGTACAGGTTAAATTAATATTTCCCCCATGATAAGTTAGTTGTGGCGCCTGAGAGCAAACCGAACGTGGCTGCACATCTGGCTGCTCTTTAAGGTCTTTGGCCAAATTATATTTTTCAATTAATGGATGAGCCATTTTTTTTCTCAAGGATATATAAACATGAAATTACACAGAAAGCATTATTGCACAGCTGGGGCGCGGGGTGGGGGTCTAAAAAAATTAATTTTTCTAGAATTTTTAAAATGTGCCTATCAAAACTGTGTCTAAGCAGACATTAACAACATTATGCATATGCCATAAAAATATATTATTGAATGTCAGGGACCATTGATAATGTGGTTGCCTTCAAGTTTATTATGTGGTCCTTTACATTTTTTTTTCAACAAAAGTGCCTCTCAGGTTATAAAAAAAAAAATCCTTGGCACTACTGCAATGCACTGCAGTACAACATTTCAGACATCATTTCATAAATGATTTTCATATACTTTATGCTTGGTTAATGTGCCTGACGTTTGGTTCACAGCCTTTCTATGTTTTTCCTCTTATTTTCTTTCTGCCTCTCACTTGTGGACTGTTCTAAAAGGGTGTGACACACCAAGCAGCCCAGCACTCAATCCTTCCACTTAGAGATGTGCAGAAATATTATGCCTTGTTATTACAAGCTGGCTTTTCTCAGCCAAGCTGTGTGACAGATCCACAATGCCAGCAGAACTTTATGAAGTGCTAGGGACACCTTGTGGCTGCTTACATTTATTCCCAGAGCAGCGCGCAAGTGCCTGGAAATAGACCTACAATACTGTACCTTTTATGTAGGGATTTTCTTGATCCTTTATGAAAATTGCTTGGGCAGAACTCTGCAATGTAAATTTGCTTTTGCTGAATTTTTCTGATCCTCTTATCTTCAATAATGTATGTTGGCCACCAATGCGCTTAATTTCATTGAAACCAATCAAGCATCTGGGACATCTGATCTAATATTTCTGCATTGGAGGGACTGAAAACTCTGACGGGGAAAAACACATGTGCAGAAATGATCCATGATGCTGGAAAACATTGTGAGTGCGCCTATCCTTCTCTGCCTACTGTAGATAAGATTTGCATTTCTCTAAAGTACTGGTTGGGTCTATGGAGGCAGGAACAGCAGCACTTCTGGGGTTTCGACTAAGTTTGAGCTGGGGTAGGACTTGTTGACTTAGCAAAGTGGAGTTGTGTCTACTTTAGTAAAACAAAACCTTTCCCGAGAGAATCATAGCTTGTGCCATAATGCAAATGTTAGTTGTCTGGTGTTAATGCCATGGGGTTGCTTTAATAAAGACAAATAGGCTGTTGCAAGAGAATTTGCACTTTGCAATGGTATTTTCTCTTAACTTAGAGGTGAAGCTCTGCTGACCTCCATCATCCATGTTCAAACAAAAATACTGTGTTTTAATTTTCCTTGCTTGTGATTGGGCATTTTTTGCAACGTGAACAGGCTATTTGCCTTTAGTATATCATCACTAATCTGGAAGAAGTATGTAGATTAGGGGTTCTGACTTTCCTGATCTGCAGGCTTGTTTCATAATAGTGGCTCAAGAGAGTCAACATAATAGCTAGGCATATTGCAGAAGGAGGTCTGCTTTAATGTTCCCTACACCTGAATGGGTATTCAAAGGGAACACAACTTCATTTTGCTAATGGAACATTCTTTTAATTATTAAAGCCCATTAAACCTACTGGCAACAGTTGGATCTATCATTTTGTTGGGTAAAATACTTTGCCAGTTCTAACCACCTCCACTGCAGACTTGTTTTAATACCAGGCCTGATGATCATGTAAAAAATATTTCCAGTTTGTTTAAGCAGTTGCCAAATAATTCTGAGGTTCTCACATTTCAGCCATGCCTGGTGCTGGAGACCTTCTGTTTAAAACAGAAATCATAGAGTTAAGATGACTTACAGAATGTTAACTTCTTGGCATGTCTGAACTTTAACAAACATGTTTCCTTTCAATTTTCCATTTTATCGTCAGGTTTTTTATGAGTATGTACAATACTGAAAAATCAATGCAACTATAGTACATCTCTGAGAATTTTTATATCTTTAATTCATTATAGTGTTTGAATGCAGAATATTGCTATACTGTTCAAGAAGCCTTTGCACACATGTGTTTAGTGTCATTTTCATTGTTACTTTTCCGTTATGTTATTTATAGTGATAGTTACCCGATTGTAATTTTGAAAGGGGACAAGCACCTGTTCTTGGTTCCAATATGTCTTGCTGTAGTAATTCTAATTTTATTCCTATGTATAAAAGCCATAGGGACATGCAGATGTACAAATGTACAGTGTGTTTCAGGTATGGGGTTATTCATTTAGTAAGTATACAACAGGCTTTATTTACAAAGTATTACTGTTCAGTAATTTCATGAGAAACAATGCAATGTTATTTTATACTAGTTTAGTGCAGCCTGCAAAAGCTGGTTTTTGATTGGCTGCTGTGGATTTGCACATACTTTTGTATTAAATAAAGTCCTTAATATAGTGTTTTTAAAAAAGAAAATCAGAATCATACTGCATCTGGTTTAGATGATTACATTCTGAAAATCGGTACTATCTTATGTCTTCTTTTTATCACACAATAATTATTTTTATATTCTACTGGCCCAGTTGGTACATAATTATGTGCAATTGTATTTAACTTTTTTACTTAAAATCAAAGTGCCAGTAAGCATAAATCACAAGTTAGTTTACATATTACAAAATGATAGCTGTTTTCTGACACACAGCTGCTTTCCTGCCTAGTAATTCCACAGACCAATAACTGACATTTAGGAGCCTTCTTTAGCTCAACATGGCTGCACAATACACAATGCGGAATATCGAATTTTCTGAGAAAGTATGATTTATTTACATTTGTGGCCTTAAGGAGAGCTCTTTTATGTAAATTATTTTTTGTTTTAGGTTTACAGGTCCTTTGTTGTTGCTATTTATATAAATTGTGATTGCTGGCAAAAAGTGAAAATCAGATTGTAAGGCAGACTACTCAACCACACAGGGTTCTAATAGGCTTGTTTATACATTTTTTAGCACAGATAACATGTCACAAATCTGGGGCAATTCAGGTTAAGCATATGCTAGAACAATGTATTAACAGTACTTGTTTAGTAAAAACAACATATCAAAAAAATTAACAGATCATTTACATAGGCTGCTGACATTATATACAAATCTAGTAGTAAAAAGTTGAAATTTGCATCACATTCTCCTACCACTGAAGCCTCCCTATAGTTAAAGAAGCCACCAATCACATTAAAACACCAATAAGTAAGTTCAGGGGGTGGTAGACCACATGGTCAAGCTCAACCTGAAATTTCCAGGATTGTTACATTTTTACAGCACTATCTAAGTTCCCAGCATTATCTTGTGAAGCTGCTCCTATCTGCAGACTGAAACAGCCTAATAGGTGGCATATCAGCGAATCTGGTGGTAGTAAAGAACCTGGAATTGGTTGTTTAGTGGTCAATGTCTATCTTTTATTTAATAATATATAAGTGCTGATGTGCAAGAAGTGTTTTACATAGGCATCACAGAATGTCTCGCTTGTACCAATAATAGAAGCTCTGTGTAATAAGAAATATGGAGCTGCTTTAATTTGATCACTTTGGACTCTTTTGTAAATTATTTTATTTATTACATTTTGTAATACAGTTATTTATTATTTGTAAAAAAAACAACACTTTTTTATATTGGATTGAATAAAATAATTCTTGAAATATTTGTCTTGGTTTATATAATGTGTCCATATTGTTTTTAAATCCAGATACTGCAAATACACACTGCATTTTTCTGCTGATCTTATCATGTTTCAACCATCCGTTGATCAAATAGATACACATAATCTACCTGCAACAGTTTACAGGTTTATCTTTATATGGTAAGGATGGTGGGAGGTTGTGCAGAACGTTTTCTTTATTTATATTGGAAAACATGAATTGAAAATGCTGATTTAAATTACAAAACAACTGCCATGTGTTTAGCCAGCACAAAGCTACTAAAAGACATTAGATGATCATGGCCCAATTCTGACAAATTTAGAACAGGCAATGGCAGTGTTGTCTTTGGCAACTGAAGACCAACATAATACTCAGATCTTAAAGTACAGGTAAACTCAATCAATAAAAAAAGCTGTAATTAAAATAATACCTGGTGATCTTGTCATAAAGGTCCATTTTGTGGAGTAGTCCATTTGCTTGTTTGCAGACCCATCAAACTAATGTCCTATTTCACCACCATAACAACCAACA